TGTTTTAGTTTTTCCTTGATTTATACTCTAAACACTAATTGCATTCTAAATTTGAAGCTTCTATGTCTGCTAGAAGTGCCTTAGAGTTTTGATGATCGGTCAGTCAGTGAGTGACAAAATTAAGAAAGTTTAACTGGTTACAATTCTTAAACTACAGGTTCAAATTGAATGAAATTTGAAACATACCATATCTATACAATGCTTCCTCGGTTACTGAAAATTCAGGCTTCTAGTTTTATTGACCACGAAGTTATAGGGGGTCGAAATTGACCTGAATTGCTTCGAGAAAAGATGGTACGGCCGTGCCGCTTTTTTGCTCAACTTGGCGGGGGCACTGCCGTGCCCCCAGATAGTATGCTCAGGCATACACTGAATATTTTCAGTCTATATGATGTGCATATTATATTTCTAGTACCGGATGACCGAGCTTTGCTCGGTTTTTTTAAGTTACATTTATATACAAATTACATGAATAACAGTTTTTGACCTTATTGACATAATAGAAAAAACTGAACTGGTTATTTGAATAAAAAATCATGAGTGCAATTAGATTAATTAAAATTTTCGTATTTTTAAAAAATACTAAAACAAAGGGCTCGAAATAATAGATTTTCTCACAAAAGAAGGGAACTTGAAAAAAAAAGGAAAAAAAGTCAGACTCAAGACGGGACGTGAACCACGGAACACCGATATCACACCCGAACAACATGCCATCTGAGCTATTACGATTGCTGTCAAAATTTACCTTCTTATATTGTAGCAGTTTTTTTATTGCCTGAAAACACGAACAAAGGGATATTTTCTAAAGATAAATCCTAGATAGATCGGTTTATTGTCCCCGAAACTCCCTGGAAACTAAATTTTATGAAAATCGTTGGAGCCATTTCCGAGATTCCGACTTTATATATATATATACAAGAACTGCTCGTTTAAAGGTATAGGATAATGTAGCAAAATCTTCAATTTGTGCTGCACTAAATGTTTTAATAGGATTATTTTGTTGATTCTAAAAGTATATTGCAAGAGTTACTTTTTAAATGGTAATTACATATTCTATATTCTAGAGGTAAGTACATTATTTTTTTTATAGGATAGGGCGACAAACGAGCACACAGTCCACCTGATGGTAAGTGATTGCTTTGGCCCACAGACATCTACATCTATCCTCGATTACAAATCAAAATGCAGATGCATTGTCACCCGTGAGGAATAAGATGGAATGCCTCGTTTCCAGTAAAAAGTCTCTGGTTCTATACACTCACCATACGAAATATAGCAGCATTAAGCTACTATTTCACGCTGATATTCTGTGAGAGCGTGGTCCTTCCTGGTCACGCAGAGTACCACACTTAATAAATAGAAAAATGTTTAAACACATAACTCTCGTGATGCAATTTGATTGGCAGCCTCATTCTTTATGAGTTCCTCACGTGGAGAATCGAACCCAAACAATGTGTGTGATCTTATTCTCATAAGTGATTTGCCACAGCTGATGTTAAAAAGTATTTCTCAGAGGAAGACATGACACTTCGTGACATGTACCAACTATTTACCTGCTGTGTTAGAACCAATTGTTGAGAGATTAACAATTCAATTTCCAACAAAACAAAAACTCGTAAACAAATTCGTATTGTGACTTGACAGGGACAGGAGCCTAGCTGTCAGATTCGACGTTGCCACTTAACTGTCATAAAATCTATGAAACGATATCGATTTTTATTTGATTAATAATATCACAGAAAAGAATAGTCTTTAACGCGCTTTGAGTTCTGTACGCTTTTTAAAATATATTTTCCTTTATTTATTGAAATTCTATTTCAATAAATAAAGGGCGACGCGACGAGAAAATGCAGCGAATAGAGTGAATGGAGCACTACGCTCTATAGTATAATGTATAAAAAAAGGCACGTATGGTAATTCATAATGCTATGTTAGTCCCTACTTTAATGTATGGTAGTGAAAGTTGGGTGTGGCAGAAGAAGCACGAAATTAGAATAAATGCTGTAGAAATGCGGTCTTTAAGGAGTATGCTAGGGTTGAATCTGAATGACAGGGTGAGAAATTGCGAGATAAGAGATAAATGTGGTATGCAAGATGATGTTGTGACCAGGATTAAGAAAGGAATGCTTCGGTGGTTTGGTCACGTAGAAAGAATGAATGAGGAAAGAGTGACAAAGCAAATTTATATGGCAGATGTGAACGGCAGAGTCGAGAAGGGACGCCCTAGAAAAAAAGTTTATCGACCAAATTGGCGATATTTTGAAAATGGGCCACGTTAAAAGTACCCTTAACCGACGAGCATGTATGCGTAGATATATGGATGTAAAGGAGGCGAAAGAGGTATGTCAGGATCGTGTCAAATGGAAGTCCGTAGTCTCTGCCTACCCCTCTGGGTGACAGGCGTGAGTGTTTATGTAATGTATTTATGTATCTATTTCATATGTATTTTAAGAACAGATAACTTGTGCAGTATTGTTTTGTTATGCTCTAGAGAATTCATGGTAAATCAGATAGAAATTAACTTCTTTAATTATCATAACACGATTCCATTTTAAATGTAATGTTAAGAACAGATAAGAATAACAGTTAAATTGTGTAGTAGTGTTTTGTTATACTCTAAAGAATTCATGGTAAATCAGTTAATTATTCGCTTGTTTAATTATCATAACTATATATGTGAAGTTTGTCAACGATTTCAACCGAGCCGATAACAACGGTTGTTTTTGTTTTCAACGGTCGACAACCGCTTTTGATGGCTTGAAATGAATAAAAACAATAAGTTGTATGTGCAATAAGTTTTTTCTCTTTGGTAATGAATAAACCACAGAAACCCCTAAAATGATCTATGCTTGTTACTACAGAAATCTTCATGGGCCCGCGAGTCCAACTCGCACTGAGCCACTTTTTTTCAATTTTATTTTAATAAATAGTTTATTCGTTAAAGCGGAGCTCTTTTGCTTTAGATTCATTACTTATATCTATAACAATCAATCTGAGTTGGTAAAGTGTGTAAATACGATTCTTAAATTGTAAAAATAATTATTGGAGTTATTGGAGGTAGATATTTAGTTTTATTTATTTAGAAAATATTAATCTCACAATTAATTATTATAATTATATAATTTTATCACACAACTAACGCCCTCATTAGCAATGTAAAGGTATAATAATAATTTTCAAAATCGGTCAAGTAATTTTCGAGATTAGCCAAAAAACATATACATAGAAAATAGCTCCCTCTATAATAAAATGCATCGTATATTAGATATCTATAATTATATATAACAATCTAGTGGTGAAAGAATTTTCAAAATCGGTCAACTACTTTACAGTTTAGCGAAAAAAACATTTTCGTTGATAGTAGCGCCCTCTATAATAAAATGCACCCTACGTTTTTAAGCACAATAGCAAAAACGATTCAGCTTAGCCACCCGCACACGCAGTAAAAACATAACCATCCTTTTTCGTCTGTAGTCGGATAAACAAGTGGTTGACAACGGTTGCGTATCGGCTGCATTGGACAAATATCCATTTTAAACGGTTGCTTACCTATATCATAACATAATAATAATTATCGAAAAATTATATTAGCATTGTAATAATGATACCGTAAGTAATCGACCGGAAAAGGGAAATCGATTTTTTAATGATTTTTGTGATTGGCAACATTTTTTATTTTATTCACAAACTAATGAATTACGTATTTACCCGTAGACGGAGAAACGTACACAGAGAAACCTAGGTTTAGGTTTAGGTTTCTCTGTCTACGCGGAGAAACCTACCTATAGACTAATGATTAGCGTGGCCTCGAGTGAGAAAGAACGATAACGTAGTTTTAGGTTATACAATAAACTTTATGACTTTTAAACATATTTACATAAAAAATTTAAGTTCACAAAACACTTTTTTCTCACGTAAACTCCTTAGATTGCTACGAACTGTTAAAGTTGTTTAGCAAAGTGTAGTTTGCTAAATAAAAAAACCGGCACGGAGAAAGGGACAAACAATCACACTGCTCTGTTTTATTTCTATGCAAGACGTATGCATAAATCTATCTTTTTCGTGTTCCAAAACGAAAGAAGGCGTCAATTTGTCTATAGGTTTCTCTGTCTATGTATTTACCTAATTTTATTTTTATCTTTTCGGTACTTTTAATTTGTGCAAAAATATTCCCATCTTTTTAGGATAAATGTATACCGCGATTAATAACCATAAATAAAGATATATTTTTTAACAAATGCACATTGTTCTATGGCGTTCTATGGCTAAAAATGGGCATCCATACGGCGTTCTATGGCTGAAAATGGGCATCCAAACTACGCAGCTTAATAAATAAACTGCTAAGTGGACATCGCCGGTTACTCAATTGTAAACGGTAATTAATACATTTATTAAAAATTTTAAAAATATACGTAATACATAATTTTTGTAATACTTACTGTTTTTAAATACATTCCATCCTTTTTTAGTCACTTACTAGAATTAGTACACTTTTATTATACAATTTGGCATTTTGGCAATGCAATGCGCCTTCAGGACGCGTTTAAAATCACGACAACACTGAGTTTGCGTTGGTGCTCCATAAACACTTTCGCACCAAGGAGTCGGTGCCATTTCGCTTGTTCAATGACCCGGTCCATATGCAGTAGGCAGTAGTCAGTAGTGTAATAAGTATATGACTTTGACATATCTCAAGATTTAAAAATAAATAAATATGACAGTTTGTTATAAATCTTTTTTGATTCACACTAATTTGTAGCACTATATCAATGATTCATTTTATAGATAATGTACGCGATGAACTTTTAAAAGAATTTGTCAATATTCTTGACATTATATCATTACGAAGTCTCAATCTTTATGATCAAATAACTGAGAACTTAACACTAGTTTTAAGGTCGCGATTGAGGAAACCTAGATGTGGTGACAAATTTTTAGTATGATATAATTTATATATTTCCTGAACTTTATGATAATATTTAAATTCTATGTAAAATAAGATGGAGAATACTAAAAACCTTGAAACAACTGCAGTTATTGAAAATGATGAACTCATATCTGACACTTTGCATGAAGATAAAACTTATTTTGATGATTTAAGTAAAAGTACTGAACAGGAAGAAAATGACGAACGAGATGTGGTAGAATTGGTGGGGTTACAAGAAGAATATGAAAATATTTCAGAAAACCAAGAAAAGTTGTCCCAAAAAGAAGGCTCAGAATCAGTAAAAACCTTGATTGATAAACAAATAGTTGACACAAATGCAATAGAAGTATTAAGAGGAAGTGAAGAAGAAATGACTGAAGTAAAAATTAGTCCAGAAGCAGCAGGAGAACAACAAGAAATAGTCGAAGAGGAAGAAAATGTATTGAATGAAGAACCTCCACCAGATCCTAGTGCTCCATTAAACCTTAGAGATTCAAAAGAAGCTCTTAAAGAGCCGTTCAACCTCCGACCAGATCAGTTGGCTGAAGTAGAACAGCTTTGGGATTTTTTCCAGGATTACACTCCAGTCTACACAGATTTAGACAATTTTATAACTAAAAAGGAATTGGTCTACATGCTCAAATCTCTTCTTCTTATGACTTATACATCAGATCAACTGCAAGAATTAATAGATTTTTGTGTGAGGCCCCCCCATTCAGAAGGTCACATCACATTTGATCAATTTTTAAAGATAGTAACAATAAGACAAAGAGATATACCTATAGAAGAAGAATTAAGATCAGCATTGCAAGCACTTGATCCCGACGAAACTGGTCTGATAGACAGAGAGTTCATGAAAGAAGTGCTAACAAAGCAAGGCCATAAAATGTCCCCAAGGCTAGTTAATAAACTTATAAAAGAAGTCGACATTAGCAATGATGGTACGATTGCTATCGAAGATGTAGTTGGGAATATGTGTATTGATTTAAATAAGGATGATATTTTAATGCTTTTAGCATCATTGCAACCTGAATCTAATGAAAAAAATGAAGGAGATATATTTTGAGAGTGACACTATATGAATAAACTCTAAGCACTTATAAGGATTTTTGATGTTAATCTATACATGAATTAAATTTTACTGCATTATTTCTGTTTTTTAATCGTGGTGACATAATATTCATATACCATACCTAAATCGCATGTTTCCTGATTTGACGTTTACATACATGTAATATGTATATCATATAATAAACTAATTTTCAAGGCGAAACATAAAAATCTAGTAAAATAACTAGTATATATGTAAACTTTTTTTTAACAGTGGTAGAGCCACGACCTCACAGAATACCGGCGTGAAGTGGAAGCTCTGCTTCCGCATTTCGTCTGGTGAGTGCAGGTGGCCGGAGGTCCAAATCCCCCCCCCCCCCATCAACATGGTAGCGGAATTAAATAATGATAGACTACCCCAGGAGGGTACCACCACCCCTGGAGAATCCCTCGCTGAGCATCCACGACCATGTTTCTCCACTTCTGAACGTGGGTGCTCAGGCTGCCCCGCGTATTCTGGGGAGGGGGGGGGCAAAATTTCGCTCAAGACTACAACTGCTCGGGGCAAACGGAGCAACAAGACCAAGGCGACCCCTGCCACGCTGTCCATGAATTTCTGCAATATCAGGGGACTTCACTCTAACCTAAACGCCGTCCACTACCATCTCGAGACGGCGAGGCCGGCTCTGCTCTTTCTGACCGAGACGCAGGTGTCCTCTCCGGCTGATGTCTCGTATCTCTCCTACCCGGGGTACAAACTGGAACACTCCTTTGTGCCTCGGGCTTGAGTTTGCGTTTACGTCAGAGAGGACATCTGTTCTCGACGCCTCGGCAGACTTGAAGGTTCGGACCTGTCCATCCTTTGGCTACGCGTAGACAGAGACGACCATCCGCGCGTCTACGGGTGCCTCTATAGGTCCCATAGCGGTAATGCCGAAACAGACCGACTCTTCGACCACGTCCAAATGGCTACAGATTCGTTGCTACAGCAGATCCCCTCCGCAGAGATCGTGATCCTCGGCGACTTTAACGCCAAGATCATGCGGGGAGATCTGTTCATGATTTTGCCTTGGCATATGGTCTGACTCAACTGGTTACTTCGCCTACGCGGATTCCAGATGTGGAGGATCATGTACCTTCCCTGTTGGACCTTCTGCTGACCTCTCACCCGGACGGATATCAGATTTCCGTCGACGCCCCTTTAGGCTCCTCGGACCATTGTCTTGTTCGGAGTGTGTTGCCACTCACGCTGAAATCGCAGTTGCATTCTGCAGGCTGCCGCCGTGTTTGGCACTATAGGTCAGCCGATTGGGATGGGATGCGGTCTTTCTTTGCATCCTACCCTTGGGGGCGGGTTTGCTTCTCGCCGGACGATCCCAACGTTGTTGCGGATTCTGTCGCTGATGTGGTGCTTCAGGGTATGGAACTTTTTATTCCTTCCTCTGTGGTGCCCATTGGAGGCAAATCTCAGCCATGGTTTGGTCGCTCCTATAAAATAGCATCATGCTATAAGCAGGAGTGCTACCAAGCCTGGGCTGACGCATCAGCGTCCCGGGATGTAAACACCAGCTCTCTAAAAAAGAAGTAAAATTCCGCCTCTAGGTCCTTCAAAAGAGTCATTGCCAAGGCAAAGTCAGAGCACATAGGCAGAATTGGCGAGAAACTAGTTCGCCTTCCTTTTGGAACCCGTGCATTCTAGTCTCTCGCCAATGCTGTCCAGGGGAATTTCTGTCAGCCATCTCTTCCATCTCTGCACAGGGAGGGCGACTCATTGGCCCATACCACAAAGGAGAAAGCCGATCTTCTAGGCTCTTTCTTTGCGTCCAACTCGACCCTCGATGACGGGGGGAGTACGTCGCCGACCATCCCGCGGTGTGAGTGCTCCATGCCGGAAGTGCAGTTCACACAGCGCTCGGTTCGCAAAGCACTCCTCTCCCTGAATATCCACCAGTCGAGTGGGCCTGACTGCATCCCCGCAATTGTGCTGAGGACGTGTGCTCCAGAGTTGGCACCGGTATTAACGCGTCTTTTCCGGTACTCCTACTACCTAGGCGTAGTCCCATAATCATGGAATACGGCTTTCGTCCACCCGATCCCTAAAAAAAGGCGACCGCTCAGACCCGTCCAACTACCGGCCTATCGCCATCACCTCCTTGTTCTCCAAAACAATGGAGTCCATTGTAAACTGCCAGCTCATGAGGTACCTTGAGGATCACCAGCTTGATTAGTGACCGCCAATACAGTTTTCGCCGTGGTCGGTCAGCTTGTGATCTTCTGGTCTACCTAACTCACAGATGGGCGGAGGCAGTAGAGTCCAAGGGGGAGGCATTGGCCGTTAGTTTGGACATTGCGAAGGCCTTCGATCAGGTTTGGCACAAAGCGCTTCTTTCGAAGCTCCCTTCCTATGGGCTTCCCGAGAAATTGTGCGATTGGATCACCAGCTTTCTTGCAGATCGGGGCATCAAGGTGGTCGTTGTAGACGGTGCAAGCTCCGATTGCAAGCCTATTAACGCTGGTGTTCCACAAGGCTGCTTGCTGTCGCCAACGCTGTTTTTTCTGCATATCAATGATATGTTGCAAACCCGTAACATTCATTGCTATGCAGATGACAGCACTGGTGATGCTCTTTACACCGGCCGAGCCAACATTTCTCGTGAAAACGTCTCCGAGTGCCGGGACAAACTTTTGTCTGAAGTCGAGTCTTTGCTTAGTTATTCTATGTATAGGACATTCTTACTTACCACAAGAGCTTCTGGATACTATAGTCGTACCTATTGTTAAAAACAGGACTGGAGACATAGCAGATAAGTGTAATTACAGACCTATTTCACTGGCGACTGTGATAGCAAAAGTATTTGACAGTGTGCTAGACTCGCGCCTCAGTGAATACATAAAATTACATGATTCACAGTTTGGTTTTCGTGCGGGACTATCCACTGAGAGTGCTATTTTTGCATTGAAGCACACTGTCAAATATTATACTGACAGGAAAACACCCGTATATGCTTGTTTCCTGGACCTTTCAAAAGCCTTTGACCTGGTTTCCTACAATGTTCTGTGGGGAAAGCTTCTGGAGGCGGGAGTCCCTGCTTCATTAGTATCTACGTTATCTACGTGGTATGATAAGCAAAAAAATTTTGTTAGGTGGTCCAATGCATTGTCTGACCCGTATAAACTTGAGTGCGGTGTGAGGCAGGGGGGTCTTACCTCTTCGAGGATTTTTAATATCTACATAAATAAGCTAAAGAACACATGTGTGTAGATGGAGTATGTCTAAATAACTTGAGCTATGCAGACGACATGGTGCTGCTGAGCCCGTCAATCTGTGGAATACGAAAGTTGCTTTCCATTTGTGAGAATTATGCTGAGCAGCATGGATTAAAATATAATGCTAAAAAAAGTGAACTGTTAGTTTTCAAAGGTAGAAATAAAAGTCCAATATGTGTTCCTCCAGTAAAGCTTAATGGTTCACTGTTACAGAGAGTAACTCATTTTAAATACGTGGGTCACATTGTCACAGAGGATTTAAAGGATGATCTAGATATCAAAAGGGAACGCAGGGTACTAGCTGTGAGAGGTAATATGGTGGCTCGAAGGTTTGCTGCTTGCTCTGTACCAGTTAAAATTACACTGTTCAAGGCTTACTGCCGATCATTTTATACCAGCAGCCTTTGGGCCAATCATACCCAAAAGGCAAGCAATACCCTACGTATTCAATATAACAATACCTTCAGGTTATTGTTGGGGCTTCCACCTTATTGTAGGGCATGTTCGCCGATGCGCATACTGATGACTACTTCGCGATAATGCGTAAAAAGGTGGAGTCATTAATGCGCAGATCACTCCCCTCCCTTCCCTCTTACGAGGGAGCTCGAATAGTATCCTGAGGGTCTTTGCGGAGAGGCTCGATGGCCCGACACTAGGTAGGTTTGTCAAGCTACATATACTAAAGTGAGCTTGATAAATCTATAAAATTTGTATGCATTGTTTGAATTTTTACTTTGTTTTTATTTCTATTGTGTTTTCATTTGTTTTGTGTACTAACATTAGTTCTTAAGTTTTATTTGTGTTACTAACATGTTATGGGCCTACGATGACTGAAAAATAAAACATATTTTTGCTGAACAGAGTCTCGGATTGGGGGCGACTAAATCTAGTCCAGTTTAACCCCCAGAAGACACAAGTTTGTGCGTTAACCGCTAAAAAGAACCCCTTTGTCGTATCTCCTCAGTTTCAAGGCACTCCCCTTGTTGCCTCAGCCAGTATCGGAACCCTCGGCGTCGACATATCGAGTGACGTGCAGTTTCGTGGTCACTTGGAAGAGAAGGCTAAATTAGCCTCTAAAAAAGCTTGGCGTGCTCAGCAGAGCGGGACAGTATTTCATGCCGGCACACCGCCTGCAACTTTACAAGGCGCAGGTTCGGCCGCTCATGGAATACTGTTCCACATCTCTGGGCTGGGGCTCCCCAGTACCAGCTCTTTCCACTTGACCGCATCCAGCGCAGAGCGGCTCGAATCGTCGACGACCGAGTGCTTTCCGATCGGCTCGATTCACTGGCACTGCGAAGAGATGTTGCATCTTGAAAAGTTCGACAAACAAAAGGGAAAAAAAAAAACCCCCCCCCACAAACCCCCCACATTGAGAAAAACAAACCACAACCTAAACAAATTTATAAAAAAAAAAAAAAACCCAACAAAAAAAAAAAAAACCAAAAAAAAAAAAACAAAAAAAAAAAAAAAAAAACAAAAAACCAAACCAACAGAAAATAAAAAAAAAAAAAAAAAAAAAAAAAACAAAAAAAAAAAAACCACCCCCAAAAAAAAAAAAAAAAAAAAAAAAAAAAAAAAAAAAAAAAAAAAAAAAAAAAATTTTCTTTCGCATATACCATGGAGAGTGCTCTGAGGAATTGTTCGGATTAATCCCAGCCGCCAAATTTCGTGAATGCACTACGCGGCAAACGTCCCGATACTATTTACACCATCTTGATGCTTGGCGGTCCACCACTGTACGTTTCA